GCTTCGCCGGGGGGGCGGGGGGGGGTGGGGGGGGGAAGGCGAGCCAGGGCTGCCTACCCCTAGAGAGAGGGGAGGGGTTTGGCAAGCATAGTGCGCAGGGGATGTAGCTCCCTAGTGATCTTCTAAAACCAAAATGAGAATTCCTTTTGAATTACTTTGAACACAAGTGATGCGGCATAGTAATTAGGAGCGCCACTTTACTGTTCATATGGCATTCACCACTTACATAACTTGGTTATAAAGCCAGGGCTGCCTACCCCTAGAGAGAGGGGAGGGGTTTGGCAAGCATAGTGCGCAGGGGATGTAGCTCCCTAGTGATCTTCTAAAACCAAAATGAGAATTCCTTTTGAATTACTTTGAACACAAGTGATGCGGCATAGTAATTAGGAGCGCCACTTTACTGTTCATATGGCATTCACCACTTACATAACTTGGTTATAAATAAACTTAAAAGTGAATATTCAAACTAGAAGTGAATATGTAGATATTTATTAAATAAATACTAATGAAGCAAATAAAATGTCTGAAAATGGGCAGTCTTAATCTTATGCTTGATCAGACCATAGCACTCTTAGGACTTGATCTTTGAAGTTAATAGGAGTTTTTTATTGTCTTGAACAGGACAAAGTTGAAACCTTTTACAGGAATGAAAACTGATTTGAAGGGTTTTTCTTACAAAAAGTATAGGTGAACATTTTAACAAAATAACTTTACTTTAAAAAGCATATTACTTTCTTTCCTTTCTCATTCATTTCCAAGTTTTCTGATTTGTTATTGATTTGTGTTAATATTCAAATCTTTCTGTTAAAAAATATTTTTTCTGTTTCCAGGATTCTTGGGATGGTCAGCATATTCCAGTTCTCTTCTCAATATTCTGTGGTTTATTGGTAGCGATATCCTATCATCTTAGCAGACAAAGTAGTGACCCGTCTGTACTTATGTAAGTGTTTGATTGTATATCTTTCCTCAAGGAACTGTCAAAGGAGAGTCATTATGATTGTTGGTAGAAACTAAGTAGTACAACTGAAAATGATGATGATGTTCCAACCCTGTGGAAAGCAGGGAGGGACAAGTGACAGCCTAGTAGTTAGGGTGCTGGCTGGAAATTCTGAAAACCCAGATATTGTGCTGCCACAACTTCCTTTGTAACGCTGGGCAGATTACTTAGGCTATGTCTACACTGTGAAGTTTTTCCGGGATACCAGAAGGCATCCCAGAAAACCCCCGCTTTATCCAGGGAAAGTGTTTGCTCTTCCGTGAGAAAAAGTGGAAGAGCAACCATGCTCTTTCGGGGAAACCTTGTATTCCTTGTTTCACAAGGAATAAGGGCTCCTGTGAAAGAGGAGGCTTTTCCGCCATTTGGCCCTGTCTAGACGGGGCCAAATGGCGGAAAAGCCTCCTGCAAAAAAGCAATCGGAAAAAGCTATGCACATTGCGGAGCGCAATTTGCATAGCTTTTTCCTTAAAAAACCATATAGTGTAGACCTAGCCTCAGTCTCTGTCTGAGTTCACCATGTATGCAATAGAGATAATTATACATACCTACCTCATAGAGGTGTTGCAAGAATAAGTACATGAAAGGTTGTGTGCCACTTAGATGCTATTGGTAACAGGGGCCATAAAAATATTTTCAGAATCTTCTAGATTGGCTATATTATGCTTTATTATTAGCAGAATGTAAGAGTTTGGATGCTCGGTTAATATGGCCTTGCAAATTAAAGGATTATGCGTTGGTCTGTTGGATCTTTAATTTGTGCCAATCTTTGGCTGCCTTTTGCATTTTGGCTAACAAAGACTACTGGGAGGGTTGAGTTGGAAAATCTGAATCAATTTTATTGAGCTTTAACTCATTTAAATTGAGCAACACAAGACAGAAGATTGGGATTCCTTATTTTCTATTAATTTATAATATCCCTTATCTAAACCCACTCAAATAATAAATTTATCCCTGTGAATTTTTGTTTTGCATCTTTTTAGCTCTTTAGTACAATCAAAATTTTTTCCTGATTCTGAAGACAAAAACCCGGAGGATCCTTTGTCTGAAGTCAAAGATCCATTACCTGAAAAACTTAGAAATTCAGTGGTAAGTAGGTTAGCATTTTGTAAATCTCATCCCATGCATATACTGAATCCTGGCCAGTAGAGTATGTGCTAGGTTGGTGTGATGTTGGTTGGAATTTGTTAGCACTATGTATTCTGCAATCCATGGATGGAACTTTCAAAGGAGCCTCAGGGAGTAATGCATTCAAGTCCAATTGACATATTTGGCTTCAAGAATTTTAGATACTTACATTTAACACAGTAAAAATAATTCCTTAAGAACTGAATCAATGTTAGTGGGTATTTGAGTTGAAATTTTACATTCAGAAGACTACCTTTAGAATGCATTTCCACTTTGAGTATAAAATACAGGATATGTTGCCTCATTGATTATTAATATTGAAGAAACAATGCATTTTTATTTATACACCTGATTTTAAAATGTATAGCCTGGACAGAAAGTATTACCTTTGCCTTGTAAATGCAATCTATCGAGACATACAAGTAGGGAGGTGAGAACTCCCAGATGATAGAGCAGTAAAGGATAACTATTGTTTTGTAACTTATTTCATAATTTAATATGTGGCTGTCTGCGGTAATATCTGGTGTATGTATAAAGGCTCAAATGAGAGTAATAATCGCAGAAAGATGTTAACTCGGTATTTTTTGGTTAATCAAGAGCTCTGAGTGATCCAGACCACAAACAGAAACTAAAAACTTAGAAAAACTGATGATTTGTTTTTTTTTTTTAATGAAGAATGAGTTGTTTCTAGAGATTTCTCTATTGGACCACAGGATCCAATCATTGTCCTATTTCACCAACATGCAATAGTAAGTGAGAAACTTAAGAAGCATAGTCTATTAAATTTATCCACGAGCATGATTAACCTGAACTGGGAGAAGATTTACCATTTATTAGATTAAAGAGCCCAATATCCAAGTCATAAAAAGATTCAGTGGTTGCAAACTGAAGCTAGATTAATTCAGAAAAGGTATGGGGGGAGAAGATGTGTTTTTTGAATATCAAAGGTAATTAACCATTGGAAAAAATCACTTAATGTGATGGATTCTTTCATTTAAAGTCTTTAAAACATAGCCACGCATCTTTCTAAGGCATGATCTAACACAGCAAGAAGTTATAGGCTTGAAGGAGGAATTGCTGCTGAAAATCTTTGTCCTGTGTTATGCAGGAGGACAAACTTGATCACAATGTTTCTTTTTGGCCTTAAAAACTATTAATTCACTTTCATACATTGAGGCAATAGGCTCAGATTTTGGAAGGGAAAACTATCCAGAATAAAAGAATAACATTTCATTAACTTCTCATGTATGGCAGTGGATTAGATGTTTTGAATTACTGCGTAGACTTTGGTGATAAGACTGTTGGCTCATAAGCTGACTTGCCATGTTTAAAAAAAAAAATGGCAATGACATGTTCATAAGCCGACTCTATATTGGCACTTTGCATACTTCTGGTACCAGCTTGTCAGTGTAAGCCACCAACACATTGGGACATTTTGTTTACCTGGAGCGTCTGCAGGCACGGAGCCTCTCAACTCCCATTGTCTGCCGTCACCATACCCAGCCAATGGGAGCTGTGGGAAGCAGTACAGGCTGAGGGACATTCTGGCCACCACTTCCTGCTACTCCTGTTAATCTGGAATGGTGAACAGAAGCCACTGGGAACTGAGGGACTTCATTCCTGCAGATATTCCAGGTATATAAAATATCTCAGCTTGTCAGCAATTTGCTGTGCTGGGAACTGAAGTTTGCCACCCCCCACCTTCACACAGTTTACAAAAAAAGATAAAATGCAAATACCCTTTCATTAACTGACCTCCGCTCTTTTCTGAGTCATTTTTTACCAAAATAATTAGGCTTATGATCGAGTACATACAGTAAGTCATTTGGATGAATGCTCTTAGTCAAGACCAGTGAGGAAGGGTTTTCTTCCGTGCACTGAGGCTTATTGCAGTCCTCTTCTGGGAGTTGGGAAATAAAAATGGTTGGACTTTGAAAGCATTTATTTAACTGCTGCTACTGTCAAAGTTTGAGGAGAAAGTTCAGTTAACTTCAGTGGAAGCAGATTTAGGTCATTGCTTAACTTTTGAAAATAGTTCCCCAAATTCCTTTAACCAAGAAGGTAAGAGTAGATGAGCCAGCCCTAAGACTGGAAGAAGAGTACCAAAATTTGTATTCTTTTTAACTCTTATGTTTTTATTCCTTAGAATGAACGGTTGCAATCTGACCTGATAGTATGCCTTGTCATTGGCGTTCTCTATTTTGCAATTCACGTCAGTACAGTATTCACCGTTTTGCAGGTAAGTTATTGTATTATCCGTCACAATTTAAAATACCTTAATGGGATGGATCACTTAATGTCTATCTAGTAGATGCCTTTTTGCTAATGCTGCTATTTATTACTCTTTTATTATGGTTGTGCCCAATGGCTCCATTTGGGCTTGTGGGGCATGACTTTCACTGTGTGCTATTCAAACATATAGTGTGACTCATACCTATGTGAAGGCCTTTTAAATCTCCAGGCTTTTGTGTCCCCAAAATTTCTCTTTACTTCCCCTCCTCCCCACTTCTACTCTTCAATCTAGGTGCTCCACTCTTTTTAATAAAGTGCCCTTCTTTCACTCTATCCACCACACAGTAATGCCTTCAGACTCATTCAAGAGGAGAAAGTAAAACTGACAAGTTTCAAAAGGTCTTTTCCCTTAGGGTTTCAGTTGTTGCTCGTAGGCAATGGGATGGGAGGGATGGTTGGTTGCAGCATATCAAGGAGGCAGGAGATCCTTACTTAACAGTTGCTTTCTAAGCTTGCACTTGTCAACCTAGCTATCTTTAGCATACACTTCAGAATACCCTTAAATATTTTCAACTTTGTATGTGACTTGAGACCAGCTCTTACAACAGGATTTGTGTGGGTGATGGAGTCTGTCTGAGTAGATCCGGTGGTAGAATTTGCCATTTACACATCAAGGTGTCTACCTAAGTAGCTGAAGAAATTGAACTTGAACTCTGAGCCAAAAAAAATCAAATTACTAGAGGAAGTATGATGGGACAAGTTGTAACAGATGTCATTAGCTGGATTTTGGCTACCTGGAAGACCTAGCATGTCTTATTTGTTCAGCAGCACTGTTCCAAATAATTCAAAGAAAGTAACTGTGATAAATACTGGAAGGATTCTAATGCTCTGCTACACTCTCAAATTAAAAAAATGGAGAGGCTCTTTTTAAGCACTCGTGTTGGTTTATTTTTAAATCTTAAACATTTTTCAGATAGAGTATCCTTCTAGCTGAGCAGAGATGACCACATGCACATTAATTTTGGCTAAGCCAGACATCTCTTCCATTGATAGAGATTCTCTAAGTTGTAGTCAGAAAGAGAGGAGGGGAGAGGACAAACCATGGGCCAGAGCAGACAAATAACTGCATATAAAGGAATCCAATGCATCAGGGAAGGACAGACAAATAAGCAGTGGCAAATTTTTAAAATGCTTCTACACAAATGCTAGGAGTCTGACTCATAAGGTGGGTGAACTAGAGTACCTTGCATTAAAGGAGGAGATTGACATAATAGGCATTATTGAAACCTGGTGGAATGAGGAAAATCTGTGGGGAACAATCATACCGGGATATAAAATATATCGGAAGGATATAGCAGGCCAGGTGAGTGGCGGAGTGGCACTGTATGTGAAAGAGAATGTAGAATCAAATGAAATAAAAATATTAAATGAATCAACATGTTCAATAGAATCGCTATGGATAGTAATTCCATGTTCCAATAATAAGAAATTAGCAGTGGGGATATTTTATCGATCACCTGACCTGGACAGCAATACTGACATTGAAATGCTGAGAGAGATTAAAGAGGCTACCAAAATAAAGAACTCTCTAATAATGGGGGATTTTAATTATCCCCATATTGACTGGATACATGTCACCTCAGGAAGAGAAGCAGAGATAAAATTTCTCAATGGCTTAAATGACTGCTTCTTGGAGCAGCTGGTGCAGGAACCCACAAGGGAACTCTCTAATAATGGGGGATTTTAATTATCCCCATATTGACTGGATACATGTCACCTCAGGAAGAGAAGCAGAGATAAAATTTCTCAATGGCTTAAATGACTGCTTCTTGGAGCACTGGTACAGGAACCCACAAGGGGAGAGGCAATTCTCAATTTAGTCCTGAGTGGAGTGCAGGATCAGGTCCAGGAGACATCCGTTACAGGACCGCTTGGGAATAGTGACCATAATATAATAACATTTAACATTCCTGTGGTGGGAAGAACACCTCAACAGTCCAGCACTCTGACATTTAATTTCAAAAAGGGGAATTACACAGAAATGAGGAGGTTAGTTAAACAGAAATTAAAAGGCACAGTGACTAGA